TCCTCCTCTGTCTCCTCCTCCTCAAAGCAACCCTGCGAGGTAGGCTGAAAGAGCGTGTGCCTGGCGCAAGCTCACCCACTGCTGCGCCACGCTGCCTCAGACTACGGCTTCAAAATGCCTCTTCCTGAATTCATTTGTTATTTACCTGGCTTTGCTTTTTTATATTTATTTATTAGCCACCTTTCTTCCTTATGGAGCTCAGGGAAGCGTTGCACTACTAATAAAATGCATGCAATAGGTCACATAAAAAACATAAAAATTTAAAACCACCATTTAGGACTGCTTTAATCAAACACATTCTTGAATAAAACCATCTCCAGCTGCCTCCCAAAGACTGACAAAGAGGGGGCCAGGCACACCTCCCTGGGGAGGCCATTCCCTACTGGGGGGGGGCGCTACTGAAAAGGCCCTCTCTTGTGTACCCAACCAAATGAGCATCTTTGATTGCTGGGTCCGTCAGGAGGCCTTAACCCCCCAGGCAGGAACACAGGGGAGAAGACCACCCTTCAGATACCCTGGCCCCAAGCCGTGCAGGGCTCTGAAGGTCAAAGCCAACACACCCTAAAAGCAGGCTTGGGAGTGGATGGGAAGCTAGGGTAACTGCTGTAATCTTGGGGTCCATGTTCCCAACAGCTGGCCCTAACCGGCAGTCACACTGGCTGCCGCTTCCAAACACTCCGAACAGAGAGGACGCGGGAGGAGCTCCGTCTAGAGGCAGCAGAGGATGGGCTGCTGCAACAGGAGCGCTGAGGCGGCGGCAGGTCTCACGTCTCCAGGAATCTCGTCCGCGTCACAGAACCACAGAATCATGGAAGGGGCCATGCAGACCAGCTAGCCCAACCCCCGGCCCATCCTCGGGCTCCACAAGCTGAAAGGTATCCATATCAATGGTTGGACCAGCAGATGCCAAAGGGACAGCATCGGAATGTGCATCCATGCCAGCGCCTAGCCCAGAGCGGATCTGCACCAGACCTGGTATAACAAAAGGTCTGTAAAGGACTGTATTTATCACCTGGGGCCAAAATGTCAAGCTTTTGTCCCAAAATTAAATAACAGAATTCAGTTGCTATTTGAGAGAAGGGGGGGAGGGGGGGATCAAGAAAATGATGATGCAACCACGCTTTCGACTTTAAAATGTGGCGTCCTAATCGACACTATTTGTCAGGATCACTGCAGCTAAATATCACCATTAATTAGCTTCTTACTTACTTAGCCTCTTCCTACCGGGTTGTACTTCCGGAGTAACACTATCCAGTTCTCTCTGAAATTCTTCCCTCGCTATGGCTACAAGTTCCCGGTACTGGGCTACTATTTTAGCTTCTGATTGGGCTGCCTGCACCTACAAAAGAGAGGTGGAAGATTAGAAACTCCAGGCATACAGTAAGTCTTTTATTTGCAGTCTGCACATATCACCGGTATCAAGGCATCACAAAAACAGCCACACGGCAAATACTACAGCAATTTCCTCTCTGGCGAAGATTTGAAGAGGCTTATAAACTAAACCAAACCAGGAAAAAATAAACAGTACAATACTCTAGCATCTGGTCTGGCTCAGTCACTCAGGTCCACAGGCTCAGACCAAAGGCTTAAGTATCTGTAACAATGGAGGAAACCTTTTCCAGGCATTATACTCTGCTGACAGTATACCTACTATAAGGTCTGAGTTTTTTTTAATGAAATTATCTAATGAACACAGGGTGTTACAGGCAGGGGTCATTTCGTAGAAAAAGAGCTAGGGGGGCTCATTAGCATAACTCATTAGCATATGCCACACCCCCTGACATCACCGGAAGTGTGTCCTCCCCACAGCCGGCGGCGACCTACAGCGGGCACCAGCGGGGAGCTCCAGGCCCCACCCTCCCGCACCTCACCCTAACCCACAGCTGAGGGCACTTCAGAAGCAGGAACACGATGGAAGTTTGCTCTGTGAACTTCGAAGGATGCCACGTAATTGATCCCATGTGCCCCTAAAACCTGGCAGTACATTTAGAGTAGTCTTCCACAAGCTTCAATGCCCACCTGCCAGGTAGCTTAGCTAACCTGTCTGCAAGAAGAAAGCTGTCTACACAATCAAACCACCTGCGTGGGGCAGAAGACCACAAAAGGAACCTCCCCCCCACCCCACCCGGCTTAAGGGAGAGAGAGAGCTCGATGCTAAAATATAAAAGGTCTGAAAAATAATTCCGGGCAGGCCAAAACACTACTGTGCACATATGCAGAGGAACAACATCAGTTACAGATAAGTAGCCTGCCCCTTTGGGCTCTCGTACAGCGCACATATAAAAAACAGGATTTTCAAAAATTCTCAATGAATTTGGGGGGGACGGGGACATTAACAGCATAAAGGCAAGAAGAAGAAGAAAGAACACATGCCAAGCCATTAGTTTCACTTAGCATCAAAAACACATCTTTGCCCACAAACAGGAAAGCTACAGCAGTTCTGGCATAAGTGCAAAAGGAGACTTTTGCATCAAAGAAAAACGGACCTTTTTCACCACACCATCCAGGTCAACTATCATACGATGAAGTTTATCCTCAGCAGCCGAGACGTGAACTTTGGCCCCAGGAATGAGAGACTTCTTGGCATGCTCAATCACCCCTTTCATCTTCTCCATTTCTTCTCTAAACGAAACCAGAAGCTGTCCGTTAGCTATGCCATTATTCAGTATTTGTTCTCATGAGGATGGAAAAGAATAAAATGTTCACCCATTACTAGTTTCTATGACCGATCTAATATAAACAATGAAAAACAGTTTTAAAGCAAACTATGTAACACGTGTGAAAGTTAATGACAAACTCAGTATGCCAGACACTCTACTAGTGGCCCAGGACTACTCGAGATGGTTTAAAATAAATAAAATACAACTGCATACAAATGAAACAGATGGTTTTATTACTTAAACAGTAGAAACAAAACAGACTAGGAACAGTATATTAATAAATTCAAATGCATGAGATTAAAAATCCTGTGGAAAGCAGCAGAATCAAATCAAGCACACGAAAGAAAAGATAAGGCACTGTACTGAAATATAAGACATCACACACGCCATTGTGAACATCTCATTAGCAAATCCCAGCACCTCAGAGTATTAAAACTATTGATCAACGTGAAGAGCCTTCCAGAAGAGGCGGAGTTTTAAATTCTGCCAGGAAGGGAAGAAGGAGGGAGACTAAAAGTACCTCCCAAAGAGAAGAGGCACCCCACAGATTAAGGGCTGCTCCTGAGAAGCCCTGCGGTCAGACTCCTGACAGTGCTGGTTCCAGTCAATCCGAAACCCTGGGTGGATACCGAAGAGGCAGCCAGTGGGTTGGCTATTCCAGGATGCCGTTTCACATGAAGGGCACAGACAGCAAAGCCTCCTCCTGAATACTGCCTCCTTGCATTGGTATTTGGAGGTTCCCTTCGTCATCTCACAGCTAGCAGCCCCTGATGGGCATCAATGAATCTAATCCCTTTTAAAAACCATCTGTGTTCATGGCCACGATTACAACCTCTGGCGGTAAGCTCCAAATTTTAATTACTCACTGAATGAAGCAGGGAGGTAGGAATAATGCTGGGTAGATAGCTACACCTACAGATGCCAGCCAGTGCAACTGAAACAAAGCAGAGGTCCGCTGGCACCTTGCCACCTTAAAGACGAACGACTCAGAATGGTGTATCCTCATTGCTTTATCTGTACAGCCCCGTCGTGGGTTTTGTTTCTTGCTCGTTTTTAAGTGTTTTATTGCTTTTTAATATTGGTGTCTAATGGAATCCATCTATGACTTCTGGACATAATTCCACCAGACCTATACAATGCTGCAGCTATGCTACCTTACAGCTTTACGTGCTTAACTTACTTGGCTTTCAAAAGGGCATCTGCAGCTTCATCCACAGCTTTACGACGATCCTTCAGGGTTTCCTCCAGTGTTCGCCACTGAGCAGTCTTTTTCTCACTTGGAGTCTAGTAAAAGGTACAATCATTCCAATGATTTCAGGTAAGAGTAATTTTTTAAAAATCACATTTACCCAACATATTACCAAAATCAGTAGATGCATAAAATTTCTCCAACGCTGGAAACAATCACGGAATAAGCAAGTTCAACATTCAAGTCACATCAATTGTGCAATATTTACTTCCCAATTTTTTTCTACTCAAACAGAATACAGAATAATATTTCATATAGATCAGTGCATAGCAGTCAGAAAACTCTAGGACATATATTTCAATGTCCATGTTACTTTTAATGTTATGTAAACATTAGACCTATTTTTCCTTAAGTGACTTGCTCCATTCATGAGTAGAGACAGGACTTGTGAACGTTTCTGACTTCCACTGGAAGTTTTGTTGGTTAAGGTGCTTAATTTTGGAAGTACGATGGCTGGGAAAATATATCCCAACCAACACAGAAACTTCAAAACCATCCTCAAGTACTTGAAGGGCTGCCATGTAGAGGATGGTGTGGCGTTGTTTTCTGTTGCCCCAGAAGGTCAGACCAGAACCAATGGGTTGAAATTAAATCAGAAGAGTTTTCGGCTAAACATGAGGAAGAATTTCCTAACAGCTTCCTGACAGCTGCCTTTAATCTAAGACTGAGGGTCCTTTTCTCAGTACTCAATGGCCAAGAGAAGTTTTTACACCTTTTAGAGGAAGACAATTTCAGAAGTGCTTGGGAGAAGTGTGCAGACAATAGTTTTGAGTTTCTTGGCCTTTCCCTCATAATGCTCAGGAATCTGGATTACCAGGAAGCGCTGAAGTCGATCAGGACTGACCTTTATGGAGCCAGCACACTAAGCCGGGCAAGGCTCCACTTTTGCACGAGGGATCCCGCCCCCCTCTGTGACCCTCCCTTCCCATCTGAAACGCCTGACAGTCCCTAGACAAGGCATGCTTTTATGCTTGCCAGATTGAATGTTTTGCCGACAGCAGAAATGAGAAGACAATTTGCTAAAATCCCATTTTCAGACTGCAACAGAGGCTGCAGGCCACCTGCTATTCCATGATCCATGGACAGCCCCCCCCCCCGGGGGGGCGCTTTGCATCTGTTGCAAAATATTTGCTGCTAAAATGGGTTTTACTGTACTGACCATATGAGGGTCTACTCATTTATTTTTCCAATACGTTTTAGACTTTTATGAGATACATGCGTTTTATCGTTCTGTATTTTGCTTTTTGCCGGTTCTGTCATGTCTTGTTTTTTTAAAATATTTTTATTTAATTATTTAAACAGCAGACATAAACATGAGGTGCACACCACACTCTGTCATGTTTTGTAATGTTTATTTTTTACCCTGTTGTGATGTGCTGGTTTTATGCTCAAGACCTTTGGTCAGAGGCACTTAATAATAAAGGAAAGCAGTGGGGCTTTTTTTCCTGGGGGGAACGTATGCTGGAGCAGAGTTCGGGAACCTCTTCAACAAAATTCTTTTTAAAATGTTTAAAAGTTTATGGGTTTTCAGTATTCAGACTGAAAATTCCATTTCCCTCTTGAGAGTTCCGGCACCTTTTTTAAAAAGCCCTGGAAAGGAGGGAGAGTGGAATAAAATGTGTCAAGGCATAAATATGAAAAACGGGGGGAGCCAGAAGAGAGAGCACAGCTCCGCACAGCGTGTGTGTCCCCCTGCTGACTCCCTCCCACACACCTCCGTGTTCTCCATGGCCTCTCTCAACTTCTGAGCATGAGCACTAACGGCTTGCACAGCAGCCTCCTGGAGGGTGATGGCTTGCAGGGTCACACGAGCAGTGCTGCTCAGAGCACTTTCCAAGGTGGCTGCAAGAGCTGGGGAAGGGAGAAAAATGCCAGTCAATTTGCACCTTATGCCACGGGCACACTTGCACCAATTAGCTCTGCCTAAGACAAGTTCACCACGTTGCCTCTTTGGAGATCTCCCCCACCCCTCCTTTGGAGATCTGTGGAAAGATTTACAAGCCTTCCATGATTAACACACCGTGGCAAGACAACACTGTTCTGGAGACTGGATCTGGTTGCCGATGCAAAGCCCCATTTGCTGATTGAAGAGCATAAAATCCACTGCTGCTTTGATTCTCCCTTGGTTGTTTTTGCATTCTTATTCTAGAGTGAGCCTCTATGTATCTGCATAGCACCTCTGCCACTCCAGCAAAATACAACTCTCAAAACTGAAGAGAAAGCTATTTTGTTCGTCCACATACCCGAAATCCTCTCTTGCTCCTCTCTATCTTGCTGTGCAAGACGAGCAGCAACTTCCTCTGGTGCTCTCTCCTTGATAACATGGGAATCCCCACGGCTAAATTCTCCACCTAATCAAGGCAATAATAAAAGCAAAACCCCAAACTGTTAGAATTTTACTCACAAAACGGAGATTTCCATGTTACACTATGCATTCAAGCTCCTGGTTCTCTGGGTGGCCTGGATGCGAGGAATCTACAGGGCCATACAAACTCACCTCTTCACTGCTGGTCGCATTCCAAAATTAAACTGGAATCATCCAGCAACAAGTGGTTCAGTTATGAACCAGATCTCAGCCATAATCAGACTGAATATGACTGCCACACCAGAGGAATACAACTTTAAACCAAGCTCAATATTTGGAAGGATCTTCTTTTTTTTTAATAAATCTTTATTGAGTTTCCAAAACATAAACAAACATCAAAACTAATCTTCTATTATATCACAGATGTGCATACAACCCCTTACCAGCTCTAAATTCAACTCCAAATTAACCCTCCACCTTTAATTTCAAATTATACAATTTTTTCCACCTTTTCTTAAAAAATAAATCATCTTCTCCCTTCAATCTACAAGAAATCTTGTCCATTTCGGCAACTTCAAAAAACTTCTGAATGACTTCCATTTTTCCCGGAATTTCTTCTTTCTTCCAATACTTGGCAAATAAAATCCTAGCGGCCGTTATACAATGTAGCAACAGATGCTTTTCTATTCTCCCAAAACCCTCCGGGATCATATTAAGAAGGTACAATTCTGGTTGAAATGGGATACTTACTCCCATAATTTCTTGCAATAATTCACTTATCATCTTCCAATATTTTTGGAAGGATCTTCTTTTTACCTTGCCACACCTTAAAATCTGACAAGGCCACCAAATAAAACAAAAGTTGATTAGAGGTCGGATTCACCCAGCAGACCAATACGTGCCCACCTCTGATCTGAATACTTGCGTGGGCAGCCTTTTCAGCAGACGACATTGTTTTAATTCTCAGTCATAACCGGAAGGACACAGGGGGCGGTGCCACATCCCAGTCATGGAGGCCATCGGCAAGGAGAGAGGAAGAGAGGACTCCCGCCTGGACAGATTTGAGTCCACCAGCATCTTAGAGACTAACAAGATTTTCAGACAGTCAAAAACTCCCTTTATTACATCCACGTCTCCTTCAGAGTCGCTTCCTATACTTGAGAACGTTTGTTCATACTAAGACCCTCTCTCACAGATGCTGGATACCAGCAAGCAAATCAGCTCTGCCCCAGAAGGTCAGACCAGAACCAGCGGGTTGAAATGAAATCAGAAGAGTTTTCAGCTAAACCTCAGGAAGAACTTCCTGACAGTCAGAGGCAGTGTCAAACTCGAGTCTCGTTTGCCATGGAGTTCTTCATCTTCTTTGGTTCTGCATGCCTATTGTCCTGTCTCATTCCGGTTGGGAGGGGGGAGTCTGTGAGCGTGTGGGTGTGTGGGGACTGCTTGGCTATGAGTTGCACTGGCTTGGCCTCCCTTCTCTGGGAAGAATGTGTGCTTGACCTTGGATACCAGACAGTGCTAGATACTAGGCTTGCAGGTGCTGGGGAGGGCTAATGGTGCACAGTAGATCTGGCGGGCTGGATGTGTTGGTGTGATTGGCCTGGTCATGGGGGCAGGCTGTTCGAATTATGTGTAATACCAGAACTGGTGCCAAGAGGGTCAGTTCTGACACAGATAGTCTTAGCTTGACACGTTCTCATCTCTCAATAAACAAATCACTGCCAAGAGAGTGTTGGGAGCAAGTTTGTTCAAGAGTCTGACAAGCGGTTCTTCGGTGGAACAGGCTTCCTTGGGAGGTGGGGGGCTCTCATTTTTTGGAGGTTTTCAAACAGACGCTAGATGGCCACCTGACAGCAATGCTGATTCTGTGAACGTAGGCAGATCACGAGAAGGGAGGGCAGGAAGGGTTGCCTCAGTGCTTAGTTCTTGTGGCTCTTTCTGACATGTCCAGGGGAATGCTGATTGCCACTTTGGGGTCAGGAAGCCATTTGTCTCCAGGCCAGTTTGGCTGTAGAACCTGGAGGGTTTTTTTGTCATCTTCTGGGTGCTGAACAGCGGGGGTCACTGCGGGGGGGGGAGGGTATTTGTGAATTTCCTGCATTGTGCAGGGGGTTGGACTAGATGACCCTGGGGGTCCCTTCCAACTCTATGATTCTATTTGATTAAGTGGATTTGGCACCTGTGGTAAGAATCTGGAACTTTCCAAGGATTCCAAATTCTTAGAAAGAAATTTTTAGAGATGAATAAGCCAATTCCAACTTTTGGTGTACGGGCATAACAAACACAAGTCACAGGCATAAGCTCTTAAGATAAAAACATGAAATCATTTTCAAAAGAAAACAGTCGGGACTCGTCAGTTTACAACCCATGCAAAATGGATCTAGTTCTTAGCATAATTCTTTTTTGCAAGTCATAAAACATGAAGCCTACTGACAAACACGCAGTACCTAAGCCAGGCTGCTTGTGAACTCCCTCGGGATGGGCACGGCCTCTACCATGTTCCTCCTCTTGCATCCCCGGAGCTGGAACGGACAAGGCTTCACCAGCTGCTGCAATTATCTGTGCCACTTCTGCTCCTGCTGCAAATACATACAAGAATAAATTACAGCAAGACAACACAATTGTGCTTCTGCCTACGAAACACAGTTGCTTCTGAAAACAGTAAAACTTAGGGAAGAGGCAGGAGTTAATTTTCTACAAGCCAGCATCATTTCACCCTTGAGTCCTTTCAGGCAAAGTCAGGGGCATATTGGGAACAGACCTCCAGTGTACAGTATGCAATTCTGCCACACCATTCTGTTGACATGTTCATGCATATACAGCATAGTCATCTGCTACAATGCCATCCAGCTAGATACAAGCTACCAGCAAACTTCTCTGAATGTACGAAAAGGGAAACTATAATAGTCTACAAAACTAAATTAAAAAATGACAAACACTTTCAAGGTCTAAAATCATAACATCCTTTGTAAGTGTCTGATTCCCCCTGCTCCTCCAACGTTAATGAGACTCGGGACCATTACTTCTTGAAGTCACCTTCTTTTTCCTCACTAGCAGTTGAAGGGGCCTCTGTCTTACTCTTCGGAGACTTGGCCACAGGTTGCTTAGATTCTTTCATTACCCCTCCCACAGAGGAGATTTTTAGTGGGCCTGGAGGCATCTGTAAGGGAAAGGTATTTCACTTTGAATTGCACACTTACAAAAATGCACACAAGATTCTCTCAGGAATTGGGAACAACTTAAACAGGAAAGTGATCTGCATAATCTATATATGTAAAAGAACTGAAAGTCTGCATTAATAACAAAAATAAACAGAAAACTACTTTTATGATTATCCCAAGTACTAGAATTCATTATATTAAAAATCAGAATTAAAAGAACCCCAGCACTTTTGGTTAAAAGTGCCACAAAGACAGAAGACCTTGATTTGAATCCAGGAGCAGTTCCTTAAATTAAGACTTCTTGGGTTTTCAGCTTTCTGTCATTATAGAGTGTGAACTTTCTATTTGGATAAAATCAAAAGATAAAAAGAACAATCCTGCTCAGAATCCTACTAAAGTCGGTTCAATGGGGCTTACTCCTTGGAAAATATTGTTAGGATTGCACTGAACCAAGATTAAGGAATTCCTGGTTTGAGAAGTCATTGATCTAACCCACAGTTTCATAAAGCATGTGAATTGTGGCACCAAGAACAAGCTGGGGATCCTCTAACTGTGTAAAAGTCCCTCTTCCCCTGGCTAAGGCAGTAGATTATCCTGTATATACTTGGGGGAATAATAAATATGGGATACGAAGCAAAGGACCCAAAAGGGCTTGCAGGGGGGCATCTCATTCACCCCTGTATTCCCCTCTCTCACTATTGCCCCCTTTCCTTCTCCTGAACAGCTCCCAAAAATTCTTCCCTCTTCCTGCTCTCCCTGCCAACCTAGCTTTGTCTGTCCACTTTTCTCTCCTTCCCCTTTCATGGCAGCTTCTCCCCAGGAAAAATCTTGCTCATGGGGCTTTGCTTTAAGGGAACGAAGGCTTAGAAGGCTCAGCGACATGGTTGTGGTTGCCTCACAGCCTCCTGAATGGCCACCGAGAGCTCAGTGGGCTTTCCTCTCTGAAAGTGCAGGCACCGTTTCATTATTTTGGGGACTTTTAAACCCCCAATCTATTTTTTTCTTTATTTTAGATTATTTTTTTTCTTCTGCAAACCTAGGACCCCCTTCAGGTTTGCAGAGAGATCCCCATCTGCCCCTCGCTCCGTTTTGTGGCTCTATTAATCATACCCTCTACGGCATAGCAATAAATATATGACAGGGATAGCCCAGGCGAGCCGGATCGCTCATCAGATCTCGGAAGCTAAGCAGGGCCGGCCCTGGCAAGGACTTGGAAGGGAGGCCTGCAAGGAATACCAGGGCTGGGAGGCAGAGGCAGGCAACAGCAAGCCACCTCTCTGAAATGTCCAAGCCCCACTAGGGGTTGCCAGGAGTCAACCATGACTTCCAGGCATACACACGCACACACAAACAAAATACTCCCCTAACAGGGGAATGATACACGGATTACTCAGATACAGGAAGTACTTTAACCACCCTAATATGCAACAAAAGCAGTAACTGGACTAAGCTAAGCAATAAACACATTAAGCAAAGAAGATGAAACTTACAGGCTTCTTTGACGCTGGAATACTGTGAGGAGGGGGACCAAGGACCATTTCAAAGAGCTTATTGGAAAAGGGGACGGTCTTCTCGACACTTTCTCGGAAGTGTGGATCATAGCTGGCATACAGGATGGTTCCACCTAGGCCTCCGCCGACAAACAAGACACTGGCTCCAATGACCTTTCCTACAGAAACACTGAGAACAAAGCAAGGAAAGAAACTTTATAGAACGTAGAAAACCAGATCAGTGAAACTAGTGGAGAAAATAAAATACATCTTGGAAAATGTTACTATATCCAGCATTCAGGACAGTTCTCAGTTAACCCCAACATGCAATAGTAGCTTGGGGCGAGGGGGGGGGGGGGGGGGGGGGAATCATGCTTCCTGCATACATTGTTTATTTATTTTATATCCTACCCTATCCCAAAAGGGCTCGGGGAGGTAACAATATATAGGTTAACAAACATAAAAATGTTAAAAACAATACCTAAAACAAGAACTCAAGTGCCTTGTGCGGTGGGCAATCTTCTAGCAGGGTCAGTTCAGACGAGACACTGTGACAAAGGCTGTGGGCAGGGGAGGCCGGAATGAAGTGGACGTCCGCCACCTCAACCAAAGGCCTGGCAGAACAGCTCCATTCTGCAGGCCCTGCGGGACTGAGACAGACCACAGTGCCTACATCGGGCCAAACTGCCAGTCTGGACACAACCTCTCTCCGGTATGCACATTCGGCCAAACTGCCAGTCTGAACACAACCTATCTCAGGTTTATAGTTCACTTTTATTTATTATTCAGACAATTTACAGAAGCATTAAAAACCAGCAAGATATCTGGGGTTGACTCCAAAGGTTCTGACACACAAACAGTGGCTTCTTCCTCCAGTGGGATCCACCTCCTCTCCACCATTCGTGGAATGGAACCTTTGTCTCCAACTGTTTCGACTCATAGAGGAAGCTGCCTTATACACCATCAGGTCAGCAGGGTCTTCCCTGGCTGGCAATGGCTGTCCAGGAGCTTGGATGGAGGAGGTCTTTTGCCTTTTTAACCTGTGCATGCCGGGGATCCTTTTGCCTTTTTAACCTGGGCATGCCGGGGATGGAGGTCTTTTGCCTTTTTAACCTGTGCATGCCGGGGATCAAAACCTGGGCCTTCTGCATGCAGGGCATACGGTCTACTACTGGCAGGGCATACGGTCTACTACTGGCAGGGCATACGGTCTACTACCGGCAGGGCATACAGTCTACTACCGGCAGGGCATACGGTCTACTACTGGCAGGGCATACGGTCTACTACTGGGGCACAGGGTCTACCCTGGCTGGCAATGGCTGTCCAGAAGCTTGGATGGAGGTCTTTTGCCTTTTTAACCTGGGCATGCCGGGGATCAAAACCTGGGCCTTCTGCGTGCAGGGCATACGGCCTACTACTGAGCTACGAGCACAGAGACGATGCAAAAAAAGAACACTAAATACGAATACATACCCATGTTCTCCAGATGTAGCATATCCACGACACAGACGTAATTGATGGGGTGAACTTTTACCACACAGGCAATTCTAAAGAAAAATGCAATAAAGTAAATAATGGCTGCATTGAAACCCATTTATTTATTTAGAAATTTTCCATGCCACATCTCCAGGGAACCTGCTTGAGACAGCTTACAAAACAAAACATGAAAACTTAACAATTGTTAATAAAAGCCCGGTACTCAAAACCCAGGCTGAGCACAGAACTGCTTAAAATGATTCGCAACATTGGATTTCGCATGTCAGTGGACTGGAAGGCACACTTGTAGGGGCGGCTCTTCTTCTTTCTCCCCACCACCCCTGCTAGCAAAGGGGAGGCAGAACAAGGAACCGCTGGCTTTCTAGGCTGCTTTGGCATTTCCTCCGGCTTCTTCTTCTTCTTCTTCTTTGTAAGCGAGGCGTGGAAGCTTGTCCAGCCGCAGAGCCGGCAAGGCATGAACTGGGGGCCAGACTCCTCCACAGGATCGTGGAAACCTTGGCAGAACATTCACACATGCCCTCCCCACAGAGCAAGAGGAAGCACAACCCATATAAGGCTACCTTTTTCCCCTGATGAGAGACGTTTCTAGACTATAAAGCAATGCCAAAAGATCAATCCCCTAATTAAAAACCTGGTTAAACAGAAAGCTTTGCCCTGGAGCCTAAAAGATAGTACAGGGACCAGGTGGGGAGCAAGGTAATCCACAGGTGAGGCGTCACTACTGAAAAAGGCCCCTCTCTGGCTGCCGCCTGCCTCACCTCTGAAAGCAGGAACATGGAGATCAGGGCTTGGGAGGCAGATCTTAACAGACGGCTGAACAACTTGGGCAGCCTTTCAGATACCTGCTCCCCAAACCACTTGTAGCTTTTAAGATCAGAACCAGCACCCATAGTAGTCACTTCCCTGGGCGCATCTGGTCTCCCACAAGGAATTATATAACCCGGCTGTAACACAGATCAACTACATGACTATTTTCAGCTCATGCTGGTGGTCACTTGGGAGAATTATAACCAAACATCCATGGTCAGTTGGTCTGAACTGCCAGCCCGACACCATTGTGCCATAATACAACTCCATGTGTTCAAGCTGGTTTGCTATGTCATCTTTACTCAGATGTAAGACTAAAGATGACACAGCAAGAACCCTCCCGGCCAAGCGGGCGTGAACACATGAAGCTGTGTTATGATACATGACTTCAGTAGTGTCTACGCAGACGGGCAGCAGCTCTTCAGGGTCTCAGGTAGACTGAGGGTCTTTCACATCACCCACTACTTGACCCTTTTAACTGATGATTAACAGGGGGGCTGCATGCCATGCTGATGAACACCCCCCCCCAAATCTGTCAACTTGACTGGGACTAGCAGCCGTGTGGCTCTTCCTCTCCCAGAAGTGCTGAGCCACTACACAGGGCGGCATCCACTGGCCTGAGGAACAAGTACTATCATCAGGCTTCGCAAATACACACACACACACACACACACACACACAGTGTGAGCCTCTGAGCTCCCTTCAACTTTGCTTTCCCCCCTTTTATATTGTACGCATTATATTATAGCAAACACTTTTGGGATTGTCAGCTAACTTGATTGCAGTGACTAAAAGGCAGTAAATAAATGGAGTAAATAAAACCTTTTGTGGAAAGGTTCTTTTCAGTTTGCTCTACTTTACACATGACGTGACCAAGGATAATGCAGAAGAACAGATCAGCTGACCAGCCTCAAGCCCACAGCGGGCCTTCTTACAATTACAGGTGTAAAGTTCTGAAACGTTGAGAAGGATATATTTTTGCTGCAAACTACTTTAAACATTACAAAATGAAAAACCAAGAGTCATCTGGTACAATCCAACACATATGTTTTAGTACATTTAAGTGAATGGACTTCCGGCTAAATTATGTGCTGATGTCTAGCCATGATCTGATTTTCAGTGGGTTGCCTTGTGATCTTTTTAAACATTTGAGGAAAAGCAAGAGCAAAAACAAGTGGAAGTTAGTAGGTCAGCTGACTGTTCATACGTATTAAAGGTAAAGGTCCCCTTGCTCGAAAGCCAGTCGAGTCCGACTCTAGGGTTGCGGTGCTCATCTCCGTTTCAAAGCGGAAGAGCCAGCGCTGTCCGAAGACGTTTCCATGGTCATGTGGCCGGCATGACTAAACACCGAGGCGCACGGAACGCTGTGACCTTCCCACTGAAGTGGTACCTATTTATCTACTTGCAATGTCTTGCTTTCGAACTGCTAGGTTGGCAGGATCATACGTATTAGCTGTCCCTAATACTACCAATCCTAATGCCATGGGGTCGCGAAGAGTCGGACTTGACTGGGCAACCAAGCAACAGAAATGCCAACTATTCCATTGTCATCAATTCTACTGCGGAGCTGACCGCTTGTCCTTTGGTCATGACTTCATGTGTGAGCAAACGGAAACTGCGCTCCAGAATAAGAGGCAAAAGCAAGAATCAGTGAATCCTTCAGGGCAACGTGAGCACTTATAATGAGTTAAGAGCCATTGCTCACAGTCACTATGAATAGCCATTCCTTGTTTATGGGCATAAAGACTAAGCCTGCTAATAACGGCATTATCTTTTTCTTTTCTTTTTTATTATTAACAATTTTATTAGTTTTTATAAAATACATATATAGCCATTGAACAATAAAAATATATTGAGATATTCAAGCTGATAAAGTTCTTATAACAAATACACAAACATATAACAAAACAATCTATAGTCATACTATGAACGATCTAATAAAACACAAAATCTGTGTCCTTTTTTGGTAATTTGAAACTTTGGGGGCTGATTAGCAGTAGTATATTCAAAAAAATATATATAAACCATTTTTCAGTAAAACTAATAGCGGAATTGTGCTTATCGTTTAAGGATAACTGCGTTGAAATTTTATCTGAGATACTATTATCCCATTGCGCTACTGTAGGCACACTTTAGTCCTTTTCCAACCAAGTGCAATTAAAATTTTTGCCGCCACTAAGAAAATGGATATTACTTCTCCAGCCTGTTTTGTAAGATGAAAATTGTGCCGATCATGGAGCAAGAAGGAAGCCGACGGTGGAAGTCTAATCTAAAGAGTACTTTCCCGATCACAAACAGCCAGCTTGTCCGGCATCCTGTGTGTGGGAGTAAAACCATGTGCAGAAAGTGAGAGGACAAAAAAGAGACAGAGGGGAGGGGTCAGAGGGCAGCCTCCCAGGTTAAGAAAAAGGCCTCTCGTCCAAGAATAAACAACCCTTAAGAGAGTGATGTCCAGGCGGGCTGAGTCACTGACTCCCAAGCTTATGCCTGGTTATTGATCCAAAACAACTTTTTGAGAAATCGATTGTTTCAGGTGTTACGTTGCAGAACACCATCTTGAGAGTCGTTGAAAGGTGGTCTGCAGAACACTGTGAAGGAGTCCAGCCGAGGGTCTCCCCGCCAGAGAGGAGAGGGGGGGGGGGACGTGCGGCAGAAGCGGCTCCGCCCCCGTCATCCGGAAGGGCTCCCCCCCTCCCCCTCACGGCCCTGCTCCCAGAGAGACGCCCTCCCCCCCCCCCCCAACCCCCTGAGCCCCCCCCGGGGGGGGGGGGGGGGGGGGGGGGTGGAGGTCGCCCGCCCGCCCGCCCGCTGTCAGGCCGCTCACCTGGACCGCCGGGCGCCGCACTCGCCGGCAGATCCGCAGCAGCAGCATCGTCGGCCCGGCCGCGGAGGGAGGCGGAGGCGGCGGAGGAGGAGAAGCGCCGCGAGAGGATGCCTGCCTGCCTGCCCGCCGGCCCACTCTCCGCGCATGCGTAAACAGTCACGCGGGGGCGGGGCTCGGGGGCGTCGGGCGGAAGCGCTAGCCAATCCGCAGGGGAAGGGTGGACGCGGGCCGTCCGACGGAAGGGAGGAGGACCAATGGGAAAAGAAGCGGCCGGTGGCGGTGGCCACTGTGCGGCGAGCTCCCGTGCGCCTGCGTGAGACAGAGGGGAGGCCGCGCACCCTCTGGGCGGGGCTCTTTAAGCGGCGCGGTGCGCCGAGCGCGTGGTTGCCGTGGCGACGTCCCGGGCGACGTGCGTTGTTGTTATTCATGGACCAGCTCCCGCCAGGCCCTCCTGTCTTCCGCCGTCCTCTGAAGTTGGCTCAACTTCATGTACTGTCTGACCATCTCATCCTTTGCCGTCCCCATCTTCTTTGACCTTCAGTCTTTCCCAGCAGCATCAGGGTCTTCTCCGGTGAGCGCTCCCTTCTCATTGGGTGGCCAAAGTATTTGAGCTTCAGTTCCATTATCTGGCCTTCCAGGGAACAGTCAGGGTTGATTTCTTTTAGGACTGACTGATTTGATCTCCTTGCAGTCCAAGGGACTCTCAAGAGTCTTCTCCAGCACCATAGTTCAAAAGCATCTATTCTTCGGCGCTCGGCCTTCCTTATAGTCCAACTCTCGCAGCCATACATGACTACTGGGAATACCATTGCTTTGACCATGCGGACTTTTGTTGGCAGGGTGATGTCTCTACTTTTTATCATGCTGTTTAGGTTCGCCATCACTTTCCTCCCAAGGAGCAGGCGTCTTTTAATTTCATGACTACTGTCACAGTCTGCAGTGATCTGGGATCCCAGGAACGTGAAGTCTGTCACTACTTCCACAGCTTCCCCTTCTATTTGCCAAGGAGTGATGGGGCCGGATGCCATGATCTTAGTTTTTTTGATGTTGAGCTTCAAGCCCACTTTTGCGCTCTCCTCTTTTACCCTGAGCAAGAGGCTCTTGAGGTCCTCTTCACTTTCTGCCATCAGAGTGGTATCGTCTGCATATCTGAGGTTGTTGATCTTTTCCCCAGCAATCTTAATTCCCGCTTGTGATTCATCCAGGCCAGCATTTCGCATGATGTACTCTGCATATATATTAAATAAGCAAGGCGACAATATACATCCTTGTCGTACTCCTTTTCCTATGCTGAACCAATCAGTTGTTCCATATCCGGTTCTAACTGTCGCTTCTTGGCCCTTATACAGGTTTCTCAAGAGACATGTGAGGTGGTCTGGTACTCCCATCTCTTTAAGGCCCTGCCATAGTTTGTTGTGATCCACACAGTCAAAAGCTTTAGCATAGTCAATGAAGCAGAAGTAGATATTTTTCTGGTACTCTCTTGCTTTCTCCATAATCCAGCGAATGTTGGAAATTTGATCTCTAGTTCCTCTACCTCTTCGAAACCCAGCTTGTACTTCTGGTAGTTCTCTATCCACGTACTGTTGAAGCCTAGCTTGTAGGATCTTGAGCATGACCTTGCTAGCGTGTGATATGAGTGCAATTGTGCGATAGTTTGAACATTCCTTGGCATTGCCCTTCTTTGGGATTGGAATGGGTTGCCACCCACCCAAAGATTTCACTATAAAACGCGAAGACCCTGCGTTAAGGTCTTTGCTAGCCACTACCCCCCTCCTGCCTGCTTTAACTCCCCTTCTGCCCAGCCTGCTAAAATCCTTTGTCTTCACCTGATCTCTTGGTGTGCACAGCCAAAGAGATCCATACTTTGCTGGCTGATTCTAGCAAGTGTGATTTAGTTAACACCTCTAGGTATTACTTTCTTCCCCTATCTTACATTGCATCAGACGAGACTTCAGGGACAGGCAAGTATAAACTGATACCTACCTACCTCCAAGTAAATGAGAAACTATCTTGATATCTTTCTGTAAGTCTAAAGGAACCTTGATTGTATGCGAATGTGAGACTGATTTTGTGTGTATGTGATTTTGATATTGCTCAGTAAAAAGACAATTTGTTTTGGAAAAACACCCGTCTCGCCTCCATCACTGGTACTCTCTGGGGCTGGCAGAACCTCCGTAAACTTTGGCAAGGACTCACGTTAAATTTAGTTAGCCATCTGCTGTAAATAAAGCGATTGGCGTAACAATATAGCCAAATGCCATCACAATACAGAATTAGGTCAGTGCGTGAGTACTCCGATGAGTTCAAGATGCACACGGCTAAGATCCAGGGGTGGCCTGAGCCTGTGTTCACGGAGCAATATCGTCTTGGCCTGAGCCACCAGATCTGGGAAGTGGTGCTGCAGAATGTGAACCCAGTTTCCCTGGCGGCCTGGGGGAGGGAACCACCTCCAGATGACCAAGGTGACCTCCCCTAAAGAGTACCTGAAGATCTCAGGGGCAATCCCAAAGACCCCCCCCCCATTCCAAGCCAAAGGAACCCGTGCGTGACCAGAGGATGCGCCACGGGCTCTGCCTTCGCTGCGGAGAGGCTGGCCACTATGTGGCCTTTTGCCCCACAGTGATCACACCCCCTGCCTCCAATGCTCCTGAGTGGAAGGGGACGGAGACATTTGACAAAAAAGGGGCCCTGTGCCCAAAGTTACCCCGGGCCCTCCCAACTAGGCACTCAGTCGGGGGTGGTGTCCTCCAGCAGAGACGAGAACCCTCAGCCGGTGGGGAAAGGCCAGGACCTGTTGTAAAAGGTTAGTGAGCAGCCATCCCCCTTTATTTTTCGTGACTGTGTCAGTGATGGGGACCCAGGTACGTGGGGGGGGAGGGTGCTCATAGACTGGGGTGTGCTAGAGACTTGATTAGCTCCTTGGGGTTGGGGGTCCCAGTGCAGCGGTTACCTGAGCCCCTGATTTTCACCCAGATGGATGTGTCCAACCATGCGTGAGCCCTGCAATTATCAAACCGTGCCTGTCATGATGGGAACAGGGTCTCACTGGGAAACCTGGGAGTTTGTTATAAATCCCATGGCCCGATTCTCCATGGTGCTAGGAAGCCCATGACCCTTACATCCAGTGGCCTGAGGGGACTGCCAGTTTTGTGGCTCCTCCTGGCTATAAACACCACACGTGGATGGGGACTTCCTCTGCAGTGGTAACTGGCACTTCCCCACCACCACCCCCGCCGCTCACGGGGTCAGGGATTACAGGAGTTCTGACACTCTGTCAGAGTCCCGCAGCAATCAGTTCCCAACAGTTCCTTGAAAAGGTTCCGGTTTATTGAGTACAGTAAAGGCAGGTCACCTGTGCATGCATTCAGTGTCAGAAGTAACTCTAAAGGCGGGAGAGGGGAAGATAGACAGGATTCACAGCGAGGTCCCCTGATGGGTTTGAGCGCCTAAACGAAGGGGTTCCCATTCTCATCAAAGCATGGAGCAAGAAGGTACCAGGGCCGCATAGCTGACAGAGCTCTTCCCCCTTGGAGATAAAGATGTTTACCTGAAGAGAAATGCCTCCTCCTCCTCTCCAGTGAGGCAAAGATCCGTTGCAAACTCTAAGTAGATCTAAGTGTTTTTTGCCCACCTCCCCCCAAGGCTTGACGGGCTGCTTCCAGAGTCTCGGGAGGCCCTTGTCCTTGTGCTGGAAGCTGGGCCAGCCTCTGGTGGGACTCGGTCCCAGCCAGCAGTGTCCCCTCTCAGCCGAGGGAGTGCGAGCCAGCTGACAGTCTTTTTAGCCCCCGGCTCACCCCGTTTTTGCCTTAGCCCGGGAAGGGGGGGGGGCTCCTCCAGACGCTGCCTTGGGCGGGGACACGTGGTCTGCCTGCAGGCGTCTCCCTCCCTACA